CCGGCTCGAAGGGAGGGTTAGAACAGGGTAGTTTTTACTTTAGTCAGTAGAGAGTCTAACACCTCTTGTCTCATCCTAGACGGGATTGGAGAGCATTGGATGATTTTCCGCACTCAATTGCTGAACTTACAAGCCTCTTGCATAAGACAATTGTTCCGAGTGTCCACGGGCGGCGCTGATCGCTTACCATCACCATGTGCTCGTTTGCCTCCTATTCCAAAAAAAAATACGTAATCTGTTGTTTTTATTGAGGAACTGTAAACTGTATTAACCTCTGGCTTGTCGGAGCGTAGATCTACACGAGACACAATGCGTTTCTATTGTGTCTTAAATACCGACAGACAAAAAGGTTAAATAATTTACTACAAGATCTATAATAATTAAACGACAATATTGTCACCAGAAACAGACCAATATCAATTAAAGTACAATAATCACATCGCTCACAAAAGTACACTAATCGCGAAATTGAGCGGGAAGTACAAAACAGATAATAAATTACAACAGCTACATATTTCGTTTACATTTTGGTTAACATATTAAAACTTACTAATCGACTAATTGGCTTATTACTAAATCGCTTTCCGTACATCTAAATATTCTCTTAGGCGCGTTGAGGTAACAGGCTTGGTTTAATTTATAAAAGAAAGGATGAGAAAAATATTGAATTCAATTATTACAAAAACGACTTTCAACATGGAAGACAATTATAAATATGAGGGACATTACTCAAACTGGGATGATTGATTTCAAAAATTGTGTCAAACGAAAATTGAGGACCTATTGCGTTCAGTTACGTTACTGTTAGCTTATATCTGACACATATTGTATGAAAAATACATCAAACTATAGTCAATTGATTTCGGCATACACTCAAACCTTAATCCGAAATCTCTGGAATAAAAAATCGACTAATTTTTAAATGAGATCGATTATCATTAATTTTGGCCGTTAATCCAGTTTCTTTTACATAACGATTATATCAATTTTAGTCGTAAGGAAACATTTATAACTTGTAGTAGACCAAACTGTTACCTCTCCGCGTACCCTGTCGATCTATACAATATACAAACAACACTACACTATTATTATATATACACATACACAAGGGAATGCATTGAATCTATCACAATAATTCACTATTTGAGCACATAACATAACATTGCGCCTTGTGCTTACTCTTGAAACCAACCTCAATGTCAATGGTGCCTACCGTATTTTCGCTCAACAGATGGCGCTAGAGTGACTCTCTCGTACTTCGTCCAATAGGGAACTACCTAGCATCACACCATTGGGCAATCACTATTTGACAGCTGCAGTGATTAGACATAATACTCCTTCCTACATCTGCGCAATTTGGTGAGCAAAAAAACGTTAGCCCCCATTTCAAGCCAATCGCAATAAAATTGCAATAATTATTCAATGTCAACGCAATATAATTTAATCTTAATTTAGGGCTCGTACACAAAACTGCGATGCGACGTCGCATCGCCAAAATTAGCGAGCTCCCTCTACGCATCGCAAGAACTTGCGAATTGATTCGCATCGCGCATCAAATTCTTATCTTCCAAAAATCTTTGTTTCTTTTTCCTGAACAAGCAATAACAGAAATGCACACTTCTTTTTACGATCCATGTCACGACCCACTTTTCAATTTAAAATACGTTTAGTGCGGTTGACGATCGTTGAAGGAACGGTCACCCTGGGAGACGCTTTGTCGTATGAAAAGCGCATCGCAGCAATTCGTGTCGTAATTTTCTGCGTTGCGAATTCGCATCGCATCGCAGTTTTGTGTACGAGCCCTGAAGCTGCAAAACATAGCATTCAGAGTACGGAATATGAAACCAAACTCAATACCGTTTAGTTCAATCAATATCCACGTAATACGGATGCAATGGGCGCTAGTGTTGCAACTCAGGAGAAGTATTGCAATGTCAATGTTATGGAGTTGGATTCAAGAGCAAGTAACAAAGAATTTTCGCCATTTTTTTTATAAGTCCCATGTTTTAGGAGTCTTGAGCACAAAAGTCAACTGTTTCGCTATGAAAATTTAATATAATACAGGGTTTTATTAAGTACAGTATTATTACGGCTCGATGGAACGTGATTTTGAAGAATGTAGCCTCTAGAAATACAGTTTTAAAGTATATTTTTGAATAGATAAAGCCTCTGGCGTTAATACTGTTATAATTGAGTACATCGTAAGGATGAGCTAGTTAAGAAGGAGGTACTTGTGCTGCGAGCCCAACGCGCCCTCTGCCGGACACCACGAGCGTTTGCTTCCAACTCCGGCGGCGCGTTGGACGATGTCTGAAAGCTGCTCATGAGGAAGAACCCCTCTGTGCTTTTCTCAGCATATTCACGTGAGTAACCCGCGATTTTAATTTAAAGTATGTCTCACGATAGGTATTATAAAAAGATATTATTTTTATTATTTAAAAATATCTCACATTTGAATATTCAGTCATTTCATCAACAAAATATCATTTATATTCTTCAAAGTCACGTTACATCAAACACCAGCAGTCAGTCGCTACACCTTATTAACCAGAATTAAATAAATAAATAAACATACTTACTATAAAAAGCTTATCTACGTCTTTTGTAAAGTTGCAAGACTGGAAGAATAATAATAATATATAAATTATCGTTACTGCTTCTGTATTTTATATTTTCTTTATCACAGAAATAATAAAATTAAAAACTATTTTCATACTGGGCAGAAAAAGAAATAAATAATTTGACGTTCATGTAAATCGGTCCAGCCGTTATCGAGTTCATTTTGACATATCATATTTTGAAACACATCAATCTATACAAAACCAGTTTATCCTGGTGTCGCGTCGCATCATCTTTCCGCACATTTAACGTTCAGTTTATACTGGTTATGTAAAGCTCGATGTGTAGCCAAGTGTACTTCTACTTGACATTAAGGGTCAGAGGCCTCAGTACGAGTTTGATTTAAGTTTAAAGTATTCGAAACGAGTACGCGTTCGGCACTCTGATTGGCCGGCGCCAATGAACCAACCAAACAGAGCGCCGAACGCGTACTCGATACGATTACTTTACACGTAAAACAAACTCGTACTATGTTACGACGCCTCAGTTACGAAAAAATCAGTTAATTCTTCTGTACTGTAGAATCAAGTTGACAGTTGACAGTTTTTGGAATAATAATTGTCAAATATTCAAAGTTATTCCTGTGATAAAATTTATCTAGCGTTGGTAAAATCGACCCTATAAAGATTTATATTAAATTTAAAATACAATAACAGTAACAACACAAATTGCACATTTCGTTCATATTACTTAAAAAGTCAATTATAACTTGGTATTATTATGTAACATAACTTAATAATTTACAAATAAATAAGTCACTACTAAGATTACAGTATATTTGGAATCAATTGTAAAATTAATATACTGTCAAAAGTTGCGTATACTATACCATTTATTAAGAAACAGATTATAATTTGGAATAAGAATAACACATAGGATACTTTAAGCGTAGCCATCGACATAATAATATACTAATGCATGCCGGACAAGCCGTACGCGTATAATCTGCAGTAATTTTTTGGTTTGATAAGAGTAAGAGAGATGGCCTATGCTTTCGGTATAGCGCTATCCCTTCCTCGCTCATAACGTCTTAACTACGGTACTATTTTGAGAGAGATAAAGATAGACCGAAACTTCGTTTCCTCTCTTTCTTTCAGAGTGCCACAATTCTCATCTCTAAGACATTTCCATTAGTATATGTCGATGAGCGTAGTCTCCCGATTTCGCCCGAAATTTTATAAGGCGACAACGCGCGACTTATTATGTCCACAGTGACGTTGATGTTGCCAGACATGGCGACCAAAGTTCGGTAACGTCGCTTTCCTTTACTCAACTTCGCAGGACATTTGTACTTGTTGTATTGTGTAGCCCTGACGCGGGCAAAACCGCTGGTAGAAGCTAGTTTTACTTTATTCTCAGTTTTTTTTAGTAAATAGAATGATAGTATCTTGAAGCAAACGGACAGCTGCATAAGTTATTTAAAAACTTAAAACTTAAAAATCTTTGCCTAACATAATAAGTGTGAAACAATATATGTTTAGCCTTCTTTCGCATCGCGACAGAGCTCAACAATTTTTTTTTTGCGCCTAATAGAGAGAACTATGGTCTATGGTTAGTTGGGCACTTGCGTCTCGCCCCTTTGTAACCTAGCGCCCTAGACACGGGCCCAGATTACCTTCAAGACAATACAGCTCTGATGGTATGGTTTTTATATCTGGATATAGTTGAGAAGCGGAACAGTCTTTTTTTTTTTAAATGGGACAAGCCCGCCACAACCTCCCAAAACCGCTGCAACTCCTGTAAGCCAGGATCTACAGTAGATACAACCATGAAAACACCGGAACATTGAAGTTCGGCGCGTCCCAGGGACATGAGTAACTGTCTTGGTTCCCGCAACGAAATGAATCAGAAGATATTATAAGAGGAGAAGAAGAAAAAACTATAATTTCCACTTCCCTCGGTGAATTACTGCAGGAGACAGAATGAATTAAGCCTAAAGGCACAAAGAAGAGACTGTACAACTGGGTGAAGCGGAACAGTCTTATGGACTATCTTATTCCTTCACGGCACGCAAGCAAAGTCACAGATAAAAGCTAGTCCGGAATGGTTTACGCAACTTTTAACAGCTCCCCTAATAGCTTCACAATAGCTTTTTATAAATCAAATCATAGTTTATGTACAAAATGTTTTTTTGTTTATATTATGCACATTATTATACAATGAATTGATTTTGATTATTTCGCTTAATAACTTATAAATTACAAGTTTAAAGTTAAAAAATAATAATTTAGCTATAATAAATAAATAGAATGCAATATCTTTTCAATTTAATACAATCCGTTCAGCGATTAAATAACTTTTTTTTTTTTAATTTTTTGGCACGAATTTACTAATACTTTTAATTATACAAAGTCTACTTTTTAATATTCAACTTTTAATACAAAAAATAACAATTATCATTTATTATGCGTTTTTTCGAAATGTCAAAAAGTTTTTTTTTTACAAATTCATAGGCGAACACACTTAGCAGGTAGGTTAACACTGAAATACATGCTTAGTGTTGCCAGCCTTACCATATTAATTGAACACTTTGCTGACACGCGATAGAAAAACCCCTTGAATACATTTTGGAAATTATCTTGTTGAGATCACTGACATTACAAATTACAATACATTTTCAAAATCTTCCTAATAAACTAATTCAACAATTTATCAATCAATCAATCTTTCAATCATATTGTCGATTGATGTCACTAACACTTGGTCCTTTAACGTTTGGAAAAATACAAAACTTGCAACATTTATCAATCAACTTGTCGATGATAACACAGCACTGTTCAATCATTTAAATCACTTAGTTTATAATATCAATACAGTTCAAATCAACCAATCGCCTGACTGATTGACAGCTGGCCCCTTAGATTGATCAAATATTTAGCATCAATCGTTAATTTTCTGAGGCTTCCGTTATTATGTTCTCGTTGCCTGTAATATTTAAGAAAATAATAATATTACAATTCAATTATTTTAGTTCCAATTTCGAAGAAGAGAATTTTCTCTTAGTTTCGATTAAAAACGTTAATATCTATAATTATATACAGTCATGCATTTTAGATACGGCATATAAACAGAGATTTGTCGTTGATTCATTCATGGTTGTCGTCGAACCTGCTGAAGATTGTCTTGAAAACATTATTCACATTGATACTCGTGTGTTATTACTTACATAAAGAGTCTAATGCAAACGCAAAAATAGGAACATACCCCGCTTTTGTAACCTGTACCTAGAATTGGATAAAAGCACAGTATAAGAGTGGTATGTACCTGGCTAGGCGAGCGTGGAGAGATGTCAGGGCGTGTGCGCGGGCTGCGCGGTACAGTCGGGACAGCTGCGCATGCGCGGCTCGTACCGCTCCACCTGCAGCGTGCACGACCACACGCCGTACTCCGCGCGCGCCACGCGCTGGCACGCGCGCAGCACCGCCTCGCTGTCCGACAGCTCGTCTGGGGGGGGAGGGAGGACTACTTTAGTATTTCTAGTCCTTGCAACGATTGTTACGCGGACAACGTTGTATTACGTTTAAAGTGATCGAAACGAAATCACGTTCGGCTCTCTAATTGGCTGTTTCATTGGAGCCGGCCAATAAGAGCGCTGAACGCATTCTCGTTTCGATAACTTTAATCGTAAGACAAACTCACTCATACTAAGCCAGGACAGGAAAAACACAAGCGCGACTTCTACGCGACGCGAGAGTCGGTCGGAAGCCTCCCTACGCGTGTATCAATGTGATGCTCAACAATTTATGTTATCGCAATACTACTATGAATATTTCGTCAATATAAAACTTACAAAACTTTTAAAACGTCAATTCATTGAACCAACCACAACTGCCTACACCATCAAGATAAACTGATGAAGTGAAAAACACATTGTACTTCAAATCGGACATAGCAGAAGATATGGTAGAAGCGGATCTATCAGAATCCAGAATCCAGATGCTAAAAACTGACCATAATTCTTAGACATAAGGCACTCGACAGAGTTAACTTTAGTTGAAATACAACAACTTATATTCAAGTGTAAAAGTGTTTTAACTTAACATAACGCCTTTTATACTCGAAGGGGTAGGCAGAGGTGCACATTACGGCATTTAATGCTACTGAAAAATGTAACACCCACTTTTCACTATTTATCAGTTCCATGTATTAGGGGGTGACCCTATTGTCATATATCGAACACAATAACAAACTCCGTGCTACTACTGAGATTTTTTTAAATCCCAGTAATTTTTTCTCGGACTCGGGAATCGAACTCGAGGTCTCATGCCGGGCAGTCGCACTTGCGACCACTCGGGCAATAAATGTTTTTAAAGAAACTTTACACAGTTACAACTTGGTACAGAGTAGTCGCTAAATAAAGTATATAAATAGAGACTGAAATCAAAGATGTTACAGTATAAATAAATCCAATAAATCCAGACAGAATATGTAACGTTCGTATGTACGTACCGATGGCGACATGCGCGGAGAGCACGACGCAGTGCGTGGACAGCGCCCACACGTGCAGCGAGTGCACGTGGCGCACGCCGCCCACCGCCGACAGCGACGCCACGCACTCGCGGTACCTGCCGCCACATTGTACTTACTTTTTAGGTTCTACTTGTTACCTACTCTCTTATCTATCTATCTATATAAATAAAAATGAATTTCTGTTCCTTAGTCTCGCTAAAACTCGAGAACGGCTGAACTGATTTGGCTAATTTTGGCCTTGATAGGTTCGTGGAAGTCCAGGGAAGGTTTAACAGGTGAGATAAAACTTTTATGCGGTACGAAGTTTGCCGGGTCAGCTAGTAGGAGATAAATAAAACAGATGTTACGGCCTGCACTGAATATGTATTGCCTCTAGAGGTATAATGTACAGGCGACGAGTGAGTGACGCGCACAATTCGGTTACATGTTTATACGCTTATGCTATTACAGTATCGATACCTAACCCCTACAAGTTCTTCTGTGGTAAAGGTTTTTTATGGGATAAGCCGGTAAACGAGCAGACGGGTCACCTGATAGTAAGCAATCGGCGGCGCCCACGAACACCTGAGGCGTTACAATAGCGTTACCACTGTTACCAGCCCTTTGTCAAATTGGCAATTTGAGGATTGTGGGGGATTCGGGGATTGCGAAGACTGAGGATGGGGACGACGAGGAAAATGGGCCTCCAATAACCTCACTCACACGACGAAACACAACGCAAGCGTTGTTTCACGTCGGTTTTCTGTGAGGCCGTATGGTATCACTCCGGTCGAGCCGGCCCATTCGTGCCGAAGCATGACTCTCCCACACTTGATGTATTTTATTATTATGGAAGTGTAAACAAATCACCTGATGATAAGTAACCAGCGCCACTCATGAACACCCGCCACACCAGATAAGTTAAAAAGTTCGTTGTCGGATTTTTGAGGGTTATAGATTCGATTGGGGATTTGGAGACAGGGGAAATTGGGAAAGGAGGAATGGGGGGCCTCCGGTAACTTCACTCACGCGACGTGAAATAACGATCACTCGAGCCGTGTTTTATTATAGTTCTCCTAGGTCACGCTTAGTTAGTAATATTAGTTGGTATTTACCTGAAGTTCTTGGGCACAGCTTGCATGAGCATGGCGAGTGCATCCCGTACGACCTGCGCCGACGTCAGTAAAACTAGGAAGCTGAACACGAACGTACAGATCGGATCCACCACCTTCGCTTCAGGCTGAAATACAAACATATTGTACATTTTTTTTCTTTAATCGTAAATGAGGTATGTGATCTAAAAGTTGATGGGAAAGACTGTTTTAATAATGATAATAATAAATCATTTATTTCAGGCATAGGAACCATAGACACAAGTCACAAATTTAATAAATGACAAAAACGTGAAATGAAAATTACAATAAAACAACTTAACTCGTCGAGTACCGTATTTATAGACACAATTATAGAACAATAGGTTGCGGTCACCGGTGACCGCTTAGTGTTTGACAGTTTAATAATGGAATACTAAAACTACGGTCCAGTCAGTGTACTGGGTACGATTCTCGATTCTATGCTGTTTTATAACCCCTTCTGACATTAATAAAACCCATTCTGTCTGAATACTCACATAGAACTTAATAAGTATAGATGCGAGCAGGACTCCGCAGCTCTGTATGAGATCTCCTATCACGTGGATGAGCGCCGCGCGGAGATTTATATTCCTGAAACCATTCATTACAGTGTTATTTACTTAGCGTCAATTGGTTGCTCTATTCTTTAACATCTTAGCATTAGATACGATAGGTATTAGAGTGCTTTCAGAATTGGTTTTGCATAATATGCAAAAGAATTCAATGCGCGAAATTAATCGCTCAATATTTTAGCCGGGTCACCTGATGGTAAGCAATCGGCGTCGCTCATGGATACCCGGAAGACCAGAGGCATTACAAGTGCGTTACTGGCCTAATGGGGATTAGGAATTTGAGGATTGTTGGGGAGATTAGGGAAAGAGGGGGGGGAATAATTGGGCCGCGCCGGTAACCTCACTCACACGACGAAACACAACGCAAGCGTTGTTTCACGTCAATTTTCAGTGAGGCCGTGGTATCGCTGCAGTCGAGCCAGCCCATTCGTGGCTTTTTAGTCAGTAAGAGTCTGACACTCCCTCCCGCCTAACCCAGGCGGGAGCAGTCATTCGATGATTTTCCCCCCTTAAAAAAAAAAGCCCATTCGTGGCAAAGCATGGCTCTCCCACACTTACTAACTAAAATACAAGTCAAGAACGATGTGACCAATACAAGATAATTCTTTAATTCAAACCGAAACTAGTAGCTGTAGGAAAATGTTTATCATTCTCTGGAAGTCTAGGAGAACAATAGTCCACCTAGCTTTACTGACGGACTGACTGACAGACAATTATTAATTTTGTATTTGTTGACGTTTCAAAAGTATAGTTGAAATTATAGTTGAAATAAATGCTTTGACTTTGACAATAAGATATGACTTTCTAAAATTTGCAAAAAAAATTGAAGAACTATCTGTTCTTCTCTATTTCAGGGTACTGTTGTATTTTTTGAAAATATTATAATGGTACTTACCTAGGCTGGGAACCCACAACACTAGCTTCTACAGTGGCGAGGTCCTTCATGTTGTAGTCTCCGTTGGCGAGCGCGCCGTTGGCGTGCTTGTGGTCGCGAGCTCGCCGGAACAGTCTCCAGCCGCGCGAGCTAGCGCCCGTACTGTTGTTGTTGTGGGAGTGCGCGTGCGCATGGGAGCACGCTGCGCCGCCGTGGGTATGGTGGTGGGCTGGAAGGAAGGGGGAATTGAGTTTGAAATTAGTGTTTTCGAATGAATACATATGTATGAATAAGTAAAAACAGTTACTTCTCAGTCTTTTTTTAAATTAAGGCTAGCCCGCCACAACCTTCCTAAACCGTTAAAATTCCTATAAGCTAGAATCTACAGTAGATTCAGCCATGAAAACCGAGACACTGAAGTTCGGCGCGTCCCAAAGACATGAACAACTGTCATGGATTCCGGAAGGAAATAAATCAGAAGATAAGCCAGAAGCCTTTAAGGTAGAATATGGTTAATGGACACTATTTTGTATAAGACCTTTTTTGTACCCATGTTCGCAAATGAATAAATGATTTGATGATATTATTAGAGGAGGATAAAACGAAATAAATATACACTGCAGCCTACTGGACTGAATTTTTGGACGTCAAATTTTTTTTTTTTATTATCTATTTTATTTTAGGGACTTTTAACCAATAGGCTACGTCAGACCCATCGTAGCACAAACTTATCTATCTAAAACATTTTAAATTAACTAAAAATTAATTAGAAGTATCAAATACCAGCGGGTCCTCACTGTTGCAACATCCTTACAATAGATCGTGCTGCATTGCTTAAAGGTTCTGACAAAATCCTATAAAAAGATCCCAAATCATAGTTTTTTATATTAAATATACATACCCATACATATACACCATCTAACTTGCTACATATTTCACAGTTCAAAAATCTTTGATGTAAGACTTTTGCAGTGTAATCCTCAAAAAAGAACGAAGTAAGATAATAGCACTCACCGATATCAGAGGCGCAGCCATGTAACACGAGCGCCAGTATGACGTTGAAGCCCACCCCACAACCAGACACGATCATCATCATGTCCGGCTCAATATTATACTCCCCTGTATGGAGCCGCACCACCGCCACGTACACGAAGATACCCGTCAGAATCCAGATTAGAAGCACTGATAGCATCGCGCCTAGAACCTCTGGAAGAAAGAGAAATTAGAATTACAGTGTTGGCGCAAGATGAACCAATCAATGATGCAAGTGATAGGAGAGAATCCCGACTAAATCTTTCAAAGGCATGTGGCCTATTCACTACGCGAAACGATGTAATCTCCTTTTTAACCTCATGCCCCCCACGGACGGCTATAGACGCCCAGAAAACGACATTAGTGATGTACCTTTTTATTCTTTGATTTATTTATTTGTGTTTCTAAAGTCTAGTTTTACGTTGTTTGAAACTTTGCAACTACTGTTTCATTTTATAACATCACGCCTTTTATCTCCGAAGGGGTAGGCAGAGGTGTACATTATGCCACTGTACAATGTAACACCCACTTTTCACTATTTATTTTATTAGTCCCATGTAATAGGGGGTGAGCCTATTGCCATATACCGGGCACAATTCCAGACTCCGTGCTACTACTGAGAATTTATAAAAACCCAGTAGTACTTTGCCCGACCCGGGAATTGAACCCGAGACCCCTTGCCCGGCAGTCGCACTTGCGACCACTCGGCCAACGAGGCAGTCTGTTTCATGATAGTATAATTTTTATTTTATTTAATGCTAACAACATTCTTCGCCAGTCATCCATTCATAATTCGAAATAGGGTCAAAATAAATAAAAGAATGATGTTGTAAGTGAATTGAAGTGGTTATCGATAAGATGTTGGAATCACTATTTTTGTGGGTATTTGCGCTGAATTTTCCGCTTGGCGTGGGCCGCCGATGCGTTTGCGCTCTGGCGGTCAAAAGTTTAATATTGTGTTAAAAAATGCCATTGAATGCAATATTGAATCCTTCATTATAATATGCAACAGTCGCAAAATATATCACACGAATAAACAAACAAAGCAGTCAACCAACTTGTTAATATCATGTAATTTTTAAATCTATTATCTTAAAACGACCAGACTAAAATGATCCCTGAAAAAACGAAATTAAAATTGAAATCAGCTAACTGCGCATCGTTTTCTGCGCCATTTGTCAACGTTGCTTATGGATATGAGTACCCAGCGGGGCTTAAAACCAGTCGCGTTACATCGTCGACAGTACCTAACGTAATCTGTGACCTAAATATGAGTAAGCATTTAAACATAATTAATAAAAAAGACTGCCTCGTTGGCCGACTGCCGGGCAAGGGGTCTCGGGTTCGCTTCCCGGGTCGGGCCAAGTATTATCGGGTTTGTAAAAAATTCTCAGTACTAGCACGGAGTCTGGAATTGTGCCCGGTATATGGCAATAGGCTCACCCCTTATTACATGGGTCTCATAATATAAATAGTGAACTGTGGGTGTTACATTGTACAATGGCATAATGTGCACCCCTGCCTGATAAAAGGCGTGATGTTATGTTAGGTTATGTAATAAAAAAAAATATTGTATCAATCTTACCAGCACGTTTGTACCCATATGACATGTGGACATCAGGTTTCCGTTTAGCGCAGTGGAAGGCGAGCAACGCTAGCGCGAACCCACCACAGTCGCTCAGCATGTGAGCAGCATCGCTCATCACCGAGAGACTGCCTGCTAGATACCCGCCGATTAACTCGCATACCTGTGGAAATTAAAAAAGAAAAAATAAATAAAATGAACATAACATATTAAACCTCTCCAACGCCTCATCCTCTTTTATATGGGACTCATAATATAAATAGTGAAAGGGTGTTACATTGTACAGTGGCGTTAAATGTCGTAATATGCGCCTCTGCCAACCCTTTCGGGGATAAAATGCGCAATGTTATGTCATGTAATATATTATAACATGTTTCCTGTTGTCCACGTATAATCCACGTATGATACATATTCATGATTTCCACGGTAATCTAAATGTTTAATAAATTTCTTTTGCACTTTTTCAATGCGGTCAATATGACAAGCGTAGTATGGACTCCAAACAGTACAAGCAAAATCCAGCAGTGATCGGACGAAACTAAAATATAAAACCTTCAGAGTATGCGGATATTGAAATGGTCTTGAAATTCTTAATATAAAGCCAAGTTGACGGAAGGCTCTGCTCACTATGTCGTCTATGTGTAAACTAAAGGATAATTTTGAATCCATAATTATACCCAAGTCGCGCACAGCCATTACCCTACTTATATATTTATTATTGATCTTGTAATCAAAATTTAGAGGTCTATGTTTACGGGTGTAGGATATAATAGAACACTTGTCAAGGTTTAAATAGAGTTGATTTGATGAGCAATATTCAGATATACGGTCTAGGTCACACTGCAGTTCCAAAAAATCTCCATAACATGTTACTGTCTTAAAAATTTTCGCATCATCCGCATACAACAGAATTCTTGAATAATTAATGACTTTATCAATGTCATTAATATATAAAATAAAAAGTAACGGGCCTGCATGGGATCCTTGAGGAATTCCCGAAGGAATTTCTAGGAATCTAGACAAATATCCCTCTATAGAAACTGCTTGGGATCGGTTCCTGATGTACGAGTTTATCCAGCGGAGTAGATCGCCATGTATACCTATAGTCCACAGTCTCTCTATAAGCAAATCATGATTAATTTTATCAAATGCCTTGGAAAAATCAGTATACACAACGTCCACCTGTGACCTCTTGTCCATGGCGTTCACTAAATAATTTGTAAAAATAAGCATGTTAGATTCAACAGAACGACCCCTGCAGAAACCATGTTGACTGCTAGAGATATGATTCTTTAGTGAGCCCACAAGAGCAGAAGTGACAATTTTCTCAAAAATTTTACCAAATAAATTAGTTTTAGAAATAGGTCGATATTGAGATACATCATTTCGTTTATCATTTTTAGGAATTGGGGTTATAAGAGCCCGCTTCCATACTGAAGGAAATATTCCCACTTCCAAAGACTTATTAAATACAAAATGTAAAGGTAATGTTAATTGATCCGCACAGTTACGAATAAATAAGGGATGTATACCATCATGTCCAGGTCCCTTGTTAATATCAATTATTTTTAGTTCCTTGTGAATAACTTCCATGGTGATGGATATAGAGCTGATACCAACTGGGGAGTTTAAGGGCGGACAATCATAATCATAGGAAGCGGGACGCGGTACACTTTCAACAAAAACGGAATTAAAATATTCGTTAAACAAGTTACAAATGTCTTCACCACAGTTGGAGACACGGTCCTCCCATTTCACCATTTGAGGGATGTGACTCGATGGCAACTTTGATTTAACGAAGCGCCAGAACAATTTAGGGAATTTGTTAATATTATCTTCACTTAATCTAATATATTTATGATACTCGACATTATATAGAATAGCCTCTCTCTTACGAAGTTTTGAAAAAGTCTGGTAATCTAAAGGATTTCCATAGCGTTTCCACCTTGTATGAAATTTTCTTTTTTCTTTGCCTATTTTAATCAATGGAATAGTATACCAAGGTGGATAGCGCGCTTTATTAATAACTTTACGTGAAGGAATATGTTTATCTATTATGTCATTGACAATGCTATAAAAGTTACTTACCATGCAATCAATACTGGTGTCCTTAGAGGTGGAAAGTTTAGAAACCCAATCAATTGATGTCATCTCCTCTCGAATTGCATCATAATTACAACGATGAAAAAGTTTCCTATTGGTGAGTTTATGAGTCAATGGGAGAGAGGAATCAAGGTGTAATTCAATTACTAATGATTTGTGATGTGTGTCTTCAGTGGTTATAGGATCATTACAAGTGATAACATTGCAATTTTTATTACTAAAGATTAGATCCAATAATCTATTGTTACAATTAAAAGAAGAATTGTATTGCTTTAAGTTCGTAAAACTTAAAAAATCGGCTGTCAACTGCATCAACGAATTGTTGTTGACACGCATTACCATCGAACCAGAATCAGCAGCATAATACCATTCCACGTACGTCACGTTAAAATCACCCAATATTAGAAATATGTCATTCGGGTACTTTTCTATTAAATTACTAATGGATTCAAAAATTATATTCAATTCCGTCTCGTGGCGATCACTGTGTGGTATATATACGCAGCAGATGTGTATGAAGGCGGGAGTAGAAGCGGAGGTGGTGTTTGTGGACTCGCAAAGAGGAATACTGACCCATATATTATCTGAGTATGTGGATGCATTCCATTCCGTTCGCGGGATAGGATTCATTTCCCGACGTACGGCAATAACGACTCCCCCACCCCTCTCCGCTCCCACGACAGAGGCATCCCTATCACGCCGAAAAACAACATATCTGTCATCAAAGTATTCTGAACTATAGTAATGTTTAGTGAGCCATGATTCAGTTAAGCAATAAATTTGATAATTGTTAAGAAGAATTTTATTTAAAAACGAATGAGATTTGGTTCTGAGTCCCCTCACATTCTGGTAATATAAGGTCAATAAATTTGTGAATGTGTCAATTGAAAATGTAAGTTGATTACTATTGTGAATATGTAGTGCATCAGAGAATAATTCCAGTAATAATGTACCTCAGACTTTGGCACCGTTTTATAACATATTTTTATGAGTGAATAAATGATAAAACACACCATGTTTAGTAATAACACCATCCGACTAACACAACGTTTCAATGTAATATTCGTATAAAAAAATATAATTAAACTAGTGACACATTTATATGAAAAATAGTTTAGCATAAGCACACAACAATTACATACCATCATCCAACGCATCCTTATGTGTAAATAAACAACAAAACAGACCACACCAAGCAACAACCTCACAAGACGCTTGCATTTAGATGTAATATAAGATAACAAACCGGTAACACAATTATAGGAAAACTTATCGGATATAGGCACAGTATAAATTAAACGTAGTCATATTATGTTAGACAAGACTTCGCCACTTGAGATACGAATGACCTTAGTAGTATCTGATTTACGCATAAATATTTTACAATCGCGGATCCATAGGTATTTAAAACAATGTTGTTCTTTTAATTCCCGTGCACGCTTGAGAAGCAGTTTGTTAGACGGTGTTAGGTGATCGCTAATATAAATGTTGACTGCAGGGCCCGATAATCCAATATCCGAGGTAGCTAAACCACGGCGCGCGCGCACCGCGGCTAACAGCTGATCCTTACAACGCTGCCTAGTGAAACGTACAATAATAGCTGGTGGTCGGGTAGGCGCATTTTTCTCCTCGAAACGCCGCACACGGTGAATACAATTAATGTCGGTCATCTCCAAACTCAGACCTACTTTTGCATAGATGCTAGTTAAAATATTGTCTAGGTTTTCTCCTTTATGGAATGGAACACCAGATATTTCCAGGTTATTTAATCTAGCATATTGGTCTCGATCATCATTATCTTTCTTTAATATAGTGTTGACGTTACGAAGTTCCTTGATGGTATTGTTAGCCACGTCAAGATCTTTCTGTAACACACTGATTTGAGACGTAACCATTTCCAGACCTTCAAGACGTCCTTCCATTACCCCCAATCGTGTATTCACGTCCTTCCAATGAGTGGCTAGTTCTTGAACCGTTAGTTTCATGCCACTGACGTCCGATTTCATCGCATCAAAATCTTTACGAAATTCCTTTAATTCTTTCAGAACGTCAGCTAAATTGGGAACGTTTTGCGAACTAGTGTGACGGCATCCAATGCAACGCCAATTATCCCTCTTTTCAGAAGTCATCTTGCGATATGTCGTTTCTGATAGACCGGAACATCCAAAATGTAGAAGAGAACTACACTGACCACACAGAACTCCATCAGACACCTCGTCGTTACATTTAGCGCAAAAACTCATTGTTATTATTTTCAAGTAACGTAATTAGTCACAATCGACTGTGGATATTTGCTACACAATAATAATTATCGTCGCGACCGGTGGACACGAGTGTTGCGACCGCGCGATGCGAGCGTACGCGTATTTTTTGCGCAGATTGCTTATCATCGGGCGATCCATCTGTTACTTTTTGATAAGGGGAAGAAATCATCCAATGATTTCTCCCGCGTTGGGTGAGGCGAGAGGGACTGTCAGACTCTTACTGACTAAAAACCACCCCGTCCCTACTCATGTCTTTCGACCCGGGGCCCGGGCAACCCGTAAAGTCGTCCGCGGCATTCATATGTTGGTTAGATACTACAACATCCACAAAAAAGCTGCTAAAAAAGTACGTACCATGAAAATCGCGCATAACACTAGTGCTATAAGAAGTTGCGGTATTGCGCTGGGCGGCTGCGCAGGTGGCGGCCAGTGACAGTGCTCCACGTCCGAAGATGGCGCCACCGGGACGTCCGTGTACGTTTCCTGAGGACAATACAAATTGATTATTAGCTAAATATACAAACTTTAAAGACAATTTTTTAATGTGAGTTTTGTTATATTGTGAGGTTGATGATTTTTCAGAAAAAAATGCCTCCCCATTTCTACATAATATAAAAAAAACAAACGAGGTATAATAGCCGTGCTATAACAGCCCACGCTAGAGTACTTTGGCACGTCATAACGCAAAAAGCCGTTACAAGAACAACGTAAACAGTTTTATACAACGGCATAATAACGGTGCTTGCCGTAAATAGAGGGGTATAAATATCATGCCTATAACCTCCCTGTTGCTAGGCAGGGGTATATTTTACTGGGAGACTGCTAGTAAAATTTTATGTACACACAGCTTCACAGGAAACTATACAAAACCACTTTATCGTGGTCTCGTTTTGTGTGATCTTTTCGCACACTCGAAGATCAATTTATACTGGTTATGTATAGCTTGATGAGATAATAATGAGACTGTTCTTCAGTAAATACTTGAGTGCTTAAAATAATATCACGCTTCGTTGAGTCCCCAGATGGAAACTAAGCTAAGAATGTCAGTAACGCCAATATTGTACGCTCAGCCATAACTAATGGTATAAAATCTTATTAACTGTATTAAAAAGAATTGCAATAAAAACTATAAATACCAACGACTGAAATGAAAAGGTACAGCTTGGCAAAAAAGAGTTCGACGCGGTGACAGCAGGACAGCTGGAACTAATATTAACTTTTTTTAAACTGTCAAAGACCAAGCGGTCACTTTTTTTCGCAACCTATTGTTCTATAATTGTGTCTACAAAACCGGTACTCGACGAGTTAAGGGGGGAAAATCGTCGAATGACTGCTCCCGCCTGGGTGAGGCGGAGTGTCAGACTCTTACTGACTAAAAACCACCCCGCTCTTTCTCCTGCACGTCGAGCCGGAGCCCCGGTAACGCGTTAGGTTTTCCGCGACACTAATATTGACTTGGACTGTATTGCTCACTTCGGATCATACCCAGTGCCGGATTAAGCCAGCGCGGGGCCTGTAGCAAATTCTGTCTAGGGGCCCTTGGTTTGCTATTGGTTCTCATTTGGGCATTGACTAAATTTGGTGCCTTTCTTTTTTCTGGCGTCAGTCGATGATTTATGGAAGATATTGTCTGGAATGACATCACAAACGAAATTGTCCCCATATACATATATGAAAGTGAGCCCATAGGGCTCATGTATGGAAATCTCAGTCTGGACTGAGTTATGAGCGTTGAAAGGAGCTGAAGTCAATCATTTTACTTTGGTTTTTTTTATTTAAATCTTATATCTTATACCATTATCTTATATACTTATTATATAAAGCGGAAGAGTTTGTTTGTTTGTTTGTTTGTTTGTTTGAATAACTAATCTAATCTCCGTAACTACAAGTCTGATTTGAATAATTCTTTTTGTGTTGGATAGTGCATTTATCGAGGATGGCCGTGCGAACACCTAATAAAGTGTATTTTGTTTTGCCATTGACTCCTGGTGGGAGACTCATCTACTTTATAGTTCGCATAATCTTTTGTAGAAAGGAAACCGTCGACTTTGTAAAGTGATATACGTCAGATGAGCGTATATTTTTTTTTTCATATAATGTGATCAGTCGAAATATAGTCCATCACTTTGTGACTGAATGACGATATCTTTGTACAGAATCTTATGCTAGCTCTAGATTAGAGTATTGACTGTAGTTAAATTAGTGAATAATCGGGAATAGGTCGGGAGAAGTAGACAGAAAAAAAATTTTTTCGTGTTTCGACGATTGCCAAAAAAAAATGCGCCACCGACGCCGCAGCTGACAAACATAGCATTTCGTGTTAGGGCTCAGTAAAGTATTTTGCGGGTTTTCGACTGAGAGGGTATTGAAACTTACATGAAAATCTGTCATAGGCCATAAACCGTATACATAGGTATAAAGTGAACACGCTAGCCAAGCAATCGAAATGTTTTTTTTT